GATTCTTTTTTTTCCCACAAAAAACTAAGGCAGTTTTTGAAAAAAAAAAAAAAAAAAAAATCAAAGTTGCTGCTCAGACCATGCTCACGCTGTAGGCTGGCACATTAAAGAGCTCTTGTCAGTCTTTCAAAAACAGTCAGCTACAGAACACCATGGAAAGCTCAAATTAAGAGAGGACTGCATGGGCCCATAAAAGATGTCTGTTCCATCCTGCATGGAATTTACACTGCAAGTCTGCTTTTTACAATGCTGTACTTTTAATGTCCCGTATTAATCTCTTAACGTCTTCCAAAAGAGATGCTTCTCTTCAGAAGAAATTAAGCATTTTTCTTTTTTAATTAGCAAGCTTGCAAAGCTTGCAGTGGGCCAGCATCTGATCTCAAAGTCAGGCCGAACACAATCTTATTCATATAGCAGCACCTGAAAATTGATTTGCAGATCGAACTGTGTCATCAGTTAGGTGTGCACACTCCATAATCGACCAGTTAATGCCTTATAATGTGCTACCATCTGTGATTAATGGCATCCACAAGCATTACTGATGAAATTATTCAACAATACCATTAATGCTGAATACATTATAGAACATAGATCACTTTCCCAATATTTGCATGCCTATAGAATTACAATGTTGTAAAAGCTTTTATTAAAGAATTATATTTATGGTTTCAAATATTTCAGGAACACTGGTAGGGATAGGAGTGGTGGCGTTTTTAAATGCTTATTTCAGCTATAAAATTGTCAGGAATGCACGAGGTTTTTCAATAGGTCATTGGTATAGCCTAAGAACACGCTCCAGCTCCTTGCATCACAGATGAGGCTGTGACTATCTCACCAGCTAAAAATCAGCATTTTAGACTGGAAAGATCATGCATCAAACATCTATTTTTCTTATTAACTTATCCATTTCCTTTATTTAATTTAAATTCCTTTTCTAATAGTTTCAACTTCATTGTTTGCACATTACTGAAACAAGACCTCTTCAATATCCACCGGTTTGCTGAAGATGTTAAAGCGTTTGTCTGTGGCCAGCCTCTTGGTAACGTCCCTGAGAAACAACCGCAGCTCTCTCAATGTGTTCTCTTCCTGGTCCTCCATTCGCTGTTTTTCTGCTTCTGACAGCTCACGGGCAGGACATGGCAGTGCAAGAGGAAGAACTTCCAGAGCACGAAGAGCTAGGGAAAAAACAAGAAGTCAGACAATGGAAATATTAACAACACAGTGGCTCTTGGGATTATGCTGCTCCAAATTTCATTATATATTTAATCTGCCTCATCGATCTATCACTGCATCCTTAACCCCACAGCTCTCCATTTTCCAAGACTGATAATTGATTTATTTGAAATTTATTTCTGCATGAAATTTATTCTGGGCACTGATTAACCCTGTCAAATGCTAATTACACTAACTGCCATTTACCCACACCTTTTGAAAAAGGAAAATATCACAAAAGAAAAAACATTTAGGTCACATTATTATTGGTTTTACTGTAACTTAGTTTACCAGCCTGTTTCCTTCTTGGTGGGGGCATTGCTGCCTCATCAAGAATTAACCCTTTGAAAAATCGCAATCTGTCTTCTTCACTTGGTCTTTGAATATAAAAAACCTCTTCATACTGGATTCTGAAAATACATTTCACCTAAAGAAAAAAAAAAGCCATATGAAAATTGAGCCCCAACTCAAAATACATCATTAATGACCACAACAAAACACTAGTCATAAACTTTTCAAAATTAGCCACATGAGAGAAGATAGTAAACTCCACCCAAAGCTGTGTACACAGTCTAGGAAAAACAAATACTTGTAATTTTCACTGAATTTTCTGTAGTAACTAAACTTGCAGTATCCCATGATCCTAACAATGGCCATCTCTGCAGTGAAAAGAAGAGAACAGACAGGGGTGGGGGAATCAAAGAAAATGCTGAGGAAAAAAATAGGAACTCCTCTCGCCCATCCTGAACCTCAGAGGTTATAAAGCTGAAGGTTAGGCCTTCAGACTAAATCTGCATTTAATTACACTGGAGTAATTTGTCAAAACGAACAACTGAGAAAATGAACAATTTTGTCTTCTCAGCAAAGCAGCATGGCGACTATGAAAATCAGTAATATGGACATACATCCCTCATTAAAGAAAATTACAAACATTTAATTAATAGTATATTTTCAGTTTCACATATTTTAAATTAAGTTAGAAAACCAGTGCAAAACAGAATGTTTTTACGTGATCAAAACATTCTGAAGAGCACATAACTCCCTAACAACGCCTCCTTCCACATTAAACTTACCTCTTCAGGCAATTCACTATACATGGACTCAGAGGTAGACAGTAGAAATATAGGGGAGAAAGATGGTATATCTTGCAGCAAAGTTAGAAAAGTAGCTCTCACAGTTTCACTGACAGCTTCCCACCAATCACCAATATGAGGCATGTAAACAATACTTGGTACTGTTCTTCGAGCTTCACGAAAGATCTAATTAAAAGAAACAGTGGTATTTAAACTAAGAAACTAATTGTTATTATCACTTGTGAGTAATACAATTCTTGTGGACTAGGAAATGACTCATGTTTGTGGTATTTTATATACAAATGTTCCAGTAAAATAAAATTATCTAACGATAAAGGCTTTCTAAACAAGTGTTTGTGACTGTTAGCTGTATCATTCAATTATTTTATATCAATGTGCTAGGGAGACTACAAAACAACTACTTGTCATATATGTTTTAAAAGCTTGCTAAGGCTGAACAATCAAGATGAAAATTAAACTGGTTTGCAATCCATGCAAAATCCACCACAAACTGTTTTGAAACCTAAAACATTTTAAACTAAGTAAATGAACCTAGAACCACAGCACACCAATTTATACGCAAGCTAATAAAATGAAAATCAGGAACTGAATACCCAGATTAAGCTTCCTTGACATTAGGTATGGGACCAAGGGGGCAAGTTAAAAATGTAATTACTCCCACTAGTCAGCAGAGAGATCTTGATCACCCTCTAGGGACCCCTTTGTTTTAAACATGAAAATAGAAGGAGCTTGCAAAAACCTGGCTTTTAAGTTACATTCCAGTTAGCTGGCTTTATATTGATGCAACTAATCCTGTTCCAGAATTACATCATTTACGCATTACAAGAGAATCTGAAATGTCACCTGTGCACACGATTCTTCAGGCGTTTTGGCACTGACTGAATAAAGTGCTGGCAGATCTAGCCTGTGTACAGAGAATTTTTCAAGAGTGTGCAATAGTGCTGGAGCAAGGTGCGAAGTCTGACCCGAACCTCTCTCTCCAGATAGCAGTAATCTTGGTCTGTAAGAGGTTGGCTGGTGATAAGCTGACCTGCAGCAAAACAACAGTTACAAAATACAATTAACACGCTGATGTTATTAATGGTTGGATATATAAAATAAGATTTTTAGAATCAAAAAAACCTTCAGTAATGGATAACAGTTTCCTACAATACCCTTAAATGATTCAACTAACTCTAGTATACCTCAACACTACTCAAAGTCTCAATAACCCAGGCTTTGCCTATTCTTTGATTTCACAACAATTTAATTCAAACTCATCTGTGCAAAGCTATGTACATATTAAATTCATGAAAACTTTGACTATAAGCAGTTTATTTTAAAACAATCCCTTGATCATATAAAAAGACTTAATGGACTTCCAGTGAAGATATCTATTTAATCATGTCTAGTTCAGTCCTAACTTCCAAAGCATCTCTTCGGCAGCCTCGGGAATCCCAGGTCAATACATTCACCCCTTAAAGTGCTACCCAGGATTTCCAAGAACCACCTAACATGTCAATACTTTGTTTGTTTAAGAAATAGGACCTGAAGTAGGATTGAATAAAATCACTATTCATCTTCTATTTTAGCATATTCATACGCTTCTATTCAGTAGATTTCCAGACAGAAGAAAGATTTTTAAAGGAAAAACTGCAAAGGTAAACTTATTTTTTGTTTTCGCTGTTAAGAAGAAATCCTAAGGAGTACATACAAGGATTTTTTGGGTTTTCTTTGTTTGTTTGTTTTGGGGGGGTTTGCCCTGTTTTGTGGACAAGTGAGACATGAAGAGAGAAGCATTAGGTTTTTCCATTAAAAGTCTTTTCATAATCCATTTTCTATAAATGGAAACAAGAAAGTTTTTTAATTAATTTGCATTTGCTCTCATTAAGGCATTTTTATCTGCATACCAATCAGCTCGGGCAGTGAAACAAGACTGGCTGGTTTTATTTCAGGTTAAATATTTTGTAACAGCTATGAACATTGCTGACCTTTGGCTTTTCAGTTCTGTGGTAGAGGTTACACACACGAATAGCAATCAAATATGCTCAGAAAGATAGATCAAGGGGGGCTTACATACTTTACAAAAATAGACATACTCTTCGAGATTATTTTATTTAGACACACATCCACACAAACATATTGTTGTTTTGGTTTTGGGTTCCCCCTCCTGCCCTCACAACAAAAGTTAAAATTTGGCATTAAAATACTTGACTATGTACCTCAAACTGTTTGAACTTAAATCCTTATTTTTAAGCTTAGATTTCCATAAATGCTGTTCTGGCATCACTCTAGCACAAAAGTTTTAGCAGTTTTCCACAAGATGGCTCTACTAAACAGTACTACTACTGAACAGTTTTCCTAACCTCATTTTCATTATTTAGCAAACTCCCTGCAGAACCCATCACAAAGTAGTCTAAAACTATTCTTAATACAAAGAAGTGTTAGTTTATTATTGTTAATTACTGTAGCCAGTCCAAATCATACGGGAAAAACTCATCCAAATTTCACACACTTTCTAAATTCCCATTTTCCCAAAACTTTGCATGAAAAACAATGAAAAAAAGACGTTAGAAATGCTGAATGCATTAATTATGTAACGCATCCAAACAGCTGCATACACTGAAGCTCAACAATATGTCAGACCAAGAAAAAGCAAACAACCCCTCCAAAATCTTCCTACGTACCTCTCTTCCCAGTTCTTAATCTTTCAAATCAAAATGGCTTGTTACAATTAAGAACCGCTGTTGACATCCTTACTTCTAAGCTACACCTGTCTGTTGCAAAATATTTCCGATTACTGTCTCTAGGACGTGGCCTTTCCTAAGACCATTCACATATCTAAAACTCTTGTCCATACACTTACATGTTTCTATTACAGAACACCATTGCCACCGCAAAGCAAAAGATTATCGTTGTTACCTCTCCTGATGTAAGAATTTCATGGTTTTATCTATCTGGTTATACGAGCCTTTAGAGAAACACTCACGTTGTAAAATGAAGGTAGGGTTTATGTATAGCAGCTGATGACTGTTTCTTTGGTGATCCTGAGTGACAGCTCGTCTCAAAAATTGATGAAGCATTCTCATCTTCACTATCATCTAATATTAGACTTGGTACATCTGTTCCAAGAAATGTATTAATTAGTACCTTATCACTTCTAAGTACACACACAACAAACAAGAAAAGACATTACAATTTTCTTCATGTACATTATAACACATTTTCAAATGTAGAAAAAATGAGTTAAAACTGTCTAAATATCAGAACACAGAATACTAAGTACTTATTACTTCAAAAACCAAAACAAATTAAATATTGTAGAAGTCTAATCATAATGACAATTAATTTTTTAAACTAAGCAGAACAACTTCACGAATACAACAAATGTTTAACTTGTTATGAAACGCTTCCTTTGGTTTTATTTCACAGCTAGAGGTTTTTCAAGGATAAAGTTATAAAATCTGTAATTGCTCAGACTATATAGAATTTTGTACTTATTTATTTGCTCTAAGTGCCCAAATTTTTACAGGTACACTTCTTCCAAAATTATTCTCAGCATGACTACCTAGATAATGTATGTTTATGAAGAACTGTTTTCCACCCTTGGATAATCTGCCAAGGAATATCAAATTACTTTTTATCAAAATCAGTTCAATTCATTCCACGATCACATACTATACCTTAATCTATTTTAATTCCTTTGCTAATATAGTAGTATAATGAACTGAAGTACTTTCTATATAGACATTCAGAAACAAAAAGCTAAAAGACGAATTACATTCAAAAGACAGACTGCAGGGACAAACAACTGCAAAAAATACAAATATGGCACTAAACCAAAACAATCGGTTGACAGCTGAAAATGAGGTACAGCTAAATCAGCTACCAGAGCTGCAAAAGGATTAAGAGTAGACAGCTGCAATTTGATAATGAGAAAGAAAGCGCTACAAGATCTTTATTTGGCCCAGGAAAGGAGTTCAGTCAATGTTACCCTAAGCAAGCCACTCGCTCTCACTGCTATAGAGAAATCAGTCTGCAATGATGGGATGAAAATGGTCACAGCCACTCAGCTGTACAGTAAGAGCAGCACAGAGGCCGGGTCTCCTGAGGAACAACACGCTCTGCGATGGATGGGCAGCATTTCTGAGAGCAGCCCCGAGTCCCTGCAGCACACCGCTGCCCAGGGCAGCCACCGGGCATCCTAACAGTAGCCCAAGTTGGCCACAGCCACTTAGAAAAATAGACTGCTGTGAAATGAAAGCGAAACACAGCGAGATCTAAGTGTTATTCTCAAACATATGACCCACCACATGATTTGCCTGATTAACATGAAGCCACGGCCCAGGTACCACTACACTGACCAAACCACTATCATGGGACAAAAGAATCAACTTAAAGGCGGTGTTAAGTGTTAGACAGAGATGCCATCTAAGGGCTATGCATCTAGACATATGATCCCAGGAAAAACTGTTAAGAGACAGCAAAGGTTCCCTTAGTTGGCTGTGTGATGTAAGAAACTGGATTCAGAGTAGGCTGGGCAGGAATAATGGGTATGGGATGAGGACGAGTCACATCCCTTGGCATTGCATGATGCAGTCACACACCTGACATCACTCCTCAGAGAGCAAAGATAAAAAAGGCTTGCAGACCGCAACCTGTGGCCAAAAGCTAGTCCATAGCAAGAAAAAGCAGGCCAGAAACTGCTAGACATTGAGCTCTGAGCAAAGATAGAGGCCTTCAAATCAGCTGGACACAGGCCTCCTAATTCTTGGCTCACTGCAGTCCTCAAACAGGCAGAATTTTGCTACACCAAATGCAGACCCATAGGGCATGTCCTATGCTCATGCACTGGACACAGCTTTTGCTTCCTAAAATACATAATTATTAAAAAAGCCAGCCCATCTTTTAACCCCAAGCATCAAGCCTCTGTGACATCGCTTGAGCGTCTGAGTCACGGAACTATGAGAAACAGGAATCATTAGTGAACTGCAAAGACATGTAGAAAACTAGATTTGCAGACTGTAAGTGCACCACTAAGGACCTGCCATATACCTGGCCCTGAATTAAAAAAAAAAAAACAAAAACAAAAACAAAAAACAAACAAAACAAAAAACAAACAAACAAAAAAAACCAAACCAAAACAAAAAAAAAACCCTGAAGTCCTAGCGTGTAACCTACGTTTACATTTAAAGTCATCGTACATGAAAGTGGATTTTGCTGTTTTTAACACAGATTAAGCTTATTATTCAATATTTTCTTGGGTTTAAGAGGGTAAGAAGAAAAACTAAGGTACAGAAGAAACTTCAAAAGAAACCTTAGTTCTTATAGCTTCAAAATCAATTATCTACAAACATTTAAAAGTAACCACAGAAGCAGAATTATCTAGTAAAACTACTATTTAACTCAATGAACGCTTCCAAACTCACTTTGTTAGCAATAATGAGTAGAAATAAATAGGAATATAAAGAATGTAACCGAAGAAAATATTCTGAACTAGAACTTTATAACACACACAGGCACACCTAATTCAATTCTTCAACAATAAGGACAATCTCTAAATTGGGCATTACCAACAGGTCAACAGTATACAGAGAGACTTAACCATCTTAAACAACTTTGGTTATGAGAGCCTAATAGGATCGAGGGAGCCTAATACGATCTAACTGCAGCTGCAAGCCAGCTCACCTCCCCCTACCCACCACCACATGCTCCCAGGCCCCATCTTGTGCCAGCTCCAGCACTCGTTAAAACCTCCAGCTATCCTACAGTCAGCAGAAAACTAACCCGACAAAAATACATCATTTTTGGATGAGTTTGCTGGCTAAAATGGTTTAACAAAGGGCCTGACGTTCTAAAGTAAGTGCAAGGGATAGAGCAAAAATGCACAGCTGGGCTGGAGGAACGCAGCAGCCAGTACAAGGATCAGCTTAAGCTGCCTGGGCTGCAGTCTGAAAGAGTGCTCTGGAATAGGAATGACAAGAAAGTCATGGCTGTCACAGATTTGCTTTATGACTGGGCGACTTTCAAGTTAATCACACACAACCACAAGTACTGTTTACATAGTTGGGGGGGGAGGAGGGGCAGTGATCCCAGATAAGAACAGTAGGAAAGAGTATGCCAGAATAAGTAGGTATGAAAACCAAGATATCTTGTTCAACATTTAACTTCCAAGAAATGACCAGGGTAACGATTAAAGTATGTCTCAGAGAACAGCTGGGTAAAAAAACCAGAACCTACTGACACACTGCCAGTCAAAACAGTCAGTCGCATTCCTTCTTATTCCCTCCTTCCTCAATGCACTCGCATTGCTCCCATCGCAGCAGGGTTCTGGCATACAGCTGACCCCTTAGTGAGTTGATTTTACTCACTAATTTGGCAAAAAGCTAACTTGACAAAACAGCAAATAGTTCTCCACTTGCTAAGCCAGCAGAATCCACTCAGAGGATCAGGCGCACATCAGGCCAGCTCAAGGGGAGGGAAGCCTCAGGACTTTCTCCTTAACCAGTAGATGCCCACTCCGTAGGCTCCGGTATCTCGGCTAACCACAGCCTCGCCTGCTGAGCTGGGAGCTCCCCGTAGCACTCCTTCACAGCCTGCTTCTGCCCCATCAACAACCAAAGGACTGGCGACAGCTAATTGACACTCAAGACAAAAGCGACAGTTTCAGGTCCTAACACACCGAGCAACATTATCTCACTATTTTCTTTTGTTCCGCCATCTGATTATGCCCCATTATTTCTCAAATCTAAATTGTAAATTACTTGGGGGTTCTCCTTTTTTCAGATGATACTCACACCTATGGGATCTTGGTCTAGATAGCTCAGTTTATTAAATTCCACAGCGACTTGGAATCAGCAAAAATAATTAAGCAACATCCAAGCAAATTGTATTTACGTGCTAACAACACTGAACTAAATACACACCAGATTTAAGGCCAGCAATACAAGAAAGCCAGAAATATTTCCAAACTGAAACAGCATTTGCAAAATACCCCCAGAAAAAACCCAAAAAACCCAAACACCTCCAACCCACATACCTTCACTTTTGTCACCCTGGCTAAATTCAGCATGAGGAAACACTTTGTGTAAAACCTCAAGAAGGTTAGTGAAGGTACGTTCCAACAGTGGTCTGATCACAGGAGATAACGCATGTCCTGAAGATGTCACGGCACGTTGGGAAGCAGGCACAATATTCTGCATTGCATGATAAAAATCCTGTGCGCTGAGAACTACTGAAGAAACATCAAGCTGTAGTTTCTGACTGCTCACATAAATCTGGGGATAGCGTCGTCTCAGGGCAATCAAGGCAGCCTCAGTGCAAAGTGCTTTTATGTCAGCTCCACAGTACCCTAGTGCACACAAAAAACAAAAATATCTTCCATGAAATAGCATTGCTGTGCTACATATATTTAAAAAAACCCCAAAAAAATCAGTAATACTTAATTGTTAAGGTCTACAAAGCATCTGCCAAAAGATATCAGGTCATAATCCAGTGACAGTGTTGTGTACCACGAAATTATGTACAGGTATATTGAAATACAGTAAGACATGAATTCCACATTGAAGTTAAAACGACCTACGTTTTCACTATACAGTGCGATACATAGTGTATTTTCAGCCCAGGGTGATAGGTCTGTCATCGCTCTTTTTCCTTAACATTGTCTAAAGTATGTGTGCAATGTTAACAGGCAAGTAACTAACTTACTTCAATATCTCTACATTAATATATTTTTTAATAGCAAAGTAATTTTGTTATACTGGATGAACATCACCGACTCTAAGCTTTTACAGACTGAGAAAATAAGCAGTATAAAGAAAAATGTTTCATGAATAGAATATGGAAGAGATGAAAACTCTTGTTAAAAAGGTGAACTTTTACTATCAAGAAAAACATCTCGGACTTTTTAGAGTTTCATAATTTTACTAATATAACCAAAAGAGTAGAAAAACTATTAAAAAGCATTCGAATTTTAATTTAGCCTAGCTTCATAAATATCTACAGGTGGCCACTTATAATTGCTTAATCATCATTACTGAAAAACACAGATCTGATAATTATGGAATACTAAGAGACTTAATATCACTGTGTCTTTTGCAGTACTAATGGCTTGAGGTTTTTCCCCAGAGCTAGAAATTAGTTTTCAAATTTTTCCATATCTCTCAGCAAGAGACATTAATATGCCACCATATTTTGTAGCACCATAGCTCCTATCTTTCAAAAAATGTAAAACATTATGCCAGTGGGAAAACTCTTTTAGAGAATTATAGTCACTGTAAGAAAACGTATTGCACTGAGGTATTGCCACATAAAAGTTCATGGATTTGCAACAAAGCGTTTATAGAAGCTAATTAATCAATTCTTTACTTAAATTATTCTCGATCAACATTTTTTTAACCAGACTTCCTCCTCCCCACCAGGTCTTAACACCATTTGCACTTTTTCTACTCTGTTTTTGTATCGGTCTTTGGCAGCACCATGTCTCAAAACTGAAGCCTGCCTTGTTTCTCTCTCTCAGTGCTGCCGGCACACATATTTTTACAAAATCCATACAGCAACTAGGAACAAAGCTGATTCCACGTACAGTGTCAAAAAATAAAAAAGGAAGCAATTAATACAGAAGAAAGACAATTTTCCATCCCCATCTTTCAGATATATAAATTTAGGGGATAATAATAAAAGATACCAACTTTTCAGCTATAAAGTTGACTTAAATCAGCTGAGACTTCAAATTCTGCCCAAGTTTCTCATATATACTTGAAAATAATTTTTAAAAAGCAAAAAAAACCCAATGGAAGATCACCATAAATATTAGACTCCTTCTTCAACATTCGAACTAAGCTTTCCAGTTTTATAAAAAAGTTAGTAGCTCTAATTGTGTGAACTTGATGAGCCACACACTGTGACTGTTATCTAAAAAGTATGTAGCAATTCACATTCACAAGTTACCTTAAAATAAATACACATGACATTTGAAATACGTTCAAATACATCCACTATATTAATCAATAGGCAACTAATTATTTTCAGCAGTAACGTTGTTATTTTTCTTTTAACTAGCCCCCATCATGAAATCAACCCATGCAGGCATTCCATCAACCACGTGAACCCATTAGACAATAGCTACAGGTGCATCAGAGAAATCAAAACCAAGGTTTTTCCTCTAAATTCTGCTTTGTTCTTTCAGTATCAGGTATCACGTTCCCATTTAAATTGGTCCACTTCTCATCTAACAAGCATACTGGATTAAACAAAAAAAATTGGGGGGGCACTAAACCAAAGCCTAAATCAAAGATGTGCTAGAGATATATAGCACCCTGAATGCCTGTCACCTTAAAAACTCATTTAGTACCTTTGTGACAAAAGATTCAGCAGCTCAGGAGCTATATCCTTTCCAATTTTTCTATTAATAAATGCTGTAATATCACTTTCTAACAGTCATTTTAATCACCGCTTGTACATCTCCAAAGAATTGCAAAATTAGGAAATAATAGCCTGTAGCCTATTTTTAAAATTAAATTCTCAGGTGAACAGATACACAATTAGTCTCCATTTCTACTTTTCATTTCTCAGGAGCAATTACATTTGAAGACTAATAATTGGTGTCTCTTTTTGAGGAACTCTCTTGTGCATACTGTACATCCATTTCAGTGACAGAAAAACTGCAAAAATCCTGTATCTTGTGAAACATAAAGATCTTTTTATTTCTAAGAAGTAAATGCACACTGATTAAGAGGAAGAAAAACATGAGTAAAGTATTGTCAAAGCAAAATAAAATGTATCATGCCAACCGTAAATAACCTGAATTTATTTTTGCCCGAATTGTCACTATAATGTAAAACCAAGGTTCAGTGCATTTGCTTCCATTTTTGAAGCAACTGAAAGGATGGATCATTTGGCAGGCAAAATGTACTGGCACACCTTAACTTAGCACAAAGCAAGTATTCTTGTCAAGTAGCCCATTTTGTTCTACTCATCACCACCACCCTCTGCTAAACATTTTCGAAGTACAACTTTCAAAGAGCAGGACAGCAAACAAGTGGATTCCCATGTAGGTTTCCAAAGAATGCACTTTGATCACGGAAATTTTAAAGCCATACTTTTCCACCTCTACTGTGCAGAAATTGTCCTCTTTAAAGTTTCTTCTGCCTAAGATCCACCCTAAAAACCTACAACAAACTGCTACTGAACAGGGTGAAATGTACAGATGGACAACCTTGACCACTTCTTCCAATTTATGCGGTGCAACTCCCTACAACTCCTAAAATGGATTGCAGGGAAAGGGAGTTAGCAAACAACTCAGCATGATGACACACATTAAAAATAACTACTACATTCTTTTTTAAAATTGTGAAAAAAAAAATTAACACTAATGCCAAAACTTTTCCCTCCATCATTACATTAGGATGGGAAAGAAAAATCTAACAAGACACCATTTTGCCACAAAATGCTCCTGCAATAGTAAGCACAGAATAAGAGTATTTTTAACAAGCATCTTGAACGTGACAGTTTGCTTCTTTACAATTCTATTTAACATTATTTAAATAACCCTTATTACATTGTAAAAAGATTCATGTGCAAGATGACAGATGGAGGAATTCACACTTTTTCGGTTGCTAATACGTTTTGTTTCCTACAAGACTGAGTTAATAGGTAACAGTCTCTCTACCTACAGAAAGTTATCATTCAGAACAATGTAGTAAGCACAAGAGATAAAGGATTTATAAAGTTCAGGATATCTGGGACCCATCTCCAGTAAGGAGAAAAAACATAATAATTACTTGAGTTTATGGAAGGTACTAATAACACATCAGCGTGTGGTCTTCTGAGCAACTCCATGCTCTCCCCAAGCCGCTTCACTTTGTCTCGCACACATTGCAGTCATGCAGCCATTCAGTGAAGTGGGTTCTTTAATTCTCACATACACAGAAATCTCCTAAAAGGTATGTAATCCAAAACACCTGGGACAAAAAACCAACCCTCAGGAAATAACCTTTTTTTTTTTTTTTTTTTTTTTTTTGCAAGTCCTGGGGCTTTTCCCTTTAATTTTTCTTATAATTACACCCCTGGATCTTAAAAAGTTCCAAGTTGCACATACACCTGCTTCCCCAAAGTCATTTACTTTGGTAGTATTTCAGCAGTTTTCTTCGTTAGGATCCATACGCTCGTAGTTAAGTGTTGCCAAGTTTGCTGAACTGGAGAGAGGCATAAACCATGCTGTGCAAAAAGCCTGTTGAGTCTAGGCAGCCTTGACTTGGGGGTGTTGTTTGGGGGGGAGGGTGTGTGTGGGGGTGTGTGCGTGTGTTTGTATTTTAAAGAAAACCTGCACACAAGAGGAAAGAGCAGACCAGTATATACCGTATCAATGTGACAAGTGTGCCAATGAGTCCGTTTTGCAATGGCCACAAAGAATCTGGAAGGTTTGTTTAAATAATTAGTTGCTGCAGATTTCACTTATAGAAATGATGAGGCAATCTCAAGACGAAGAAGATAAACCAGTCTTATTTCAGCTGTTTTAAAAAGTCTTTGTAATAGTAAAAAGGTTTTAATCTTGGATGTATGGAAACATTTAAATTCCAAGATACAGAATGGAGACACTAAAGTGCACAGTAGTTGGACAGTAGGAAAGCCAAAGAAAATAGAAAAGGGTATTTCTTTTTGTTAGCTGACTTTTCCACAGAACTGACAGGCTTCACTGAGCACAAAGAACATCTTCCAATCAAACCTACAAACGGCTTTGCCTATGGTCTGAAATTTTAAAATACATAGCTGTGTTCTCAATGCAAAAATATGGTGAATTTTCAAAGAAACAACTGGGTTTTATCCCATCTAATCCCCTCTCTCCCACTAAGCAGCACCACATCTTTGCACAAATCAAGCAGAATTTACATGAAATGGGTTTGGCACATGCTGTCTTATACCCGGCAAAGCTTAAACTGGAGTTTGCTGGATAGTTATGTTTTCTCCTCACCAGAAGATGTTGAGGTCTTTGTGCATCAAAAGCGGAGGGATGCTGCTTCGATGATAGATGTCCCTGTGGATGAAGAGGATAATTCGGATGTACTGTAGCTGACTGAATGGACTGATGTTCAATTTAAAGTTCTTATTTCTCTGATGATGGATTCCAATGCACAGATATTTGAGACTGTCCTTTTTCTGAGAACTTCAGTGCTTGTCCAAGCAGATGACTGACAGAGGATGTATCTTTGCATGACAAATTGTTGAGAAGAGATTGTGGTGTGTGTTTTAGGGTCATTTCCTCTGTTAAATTCATTATAAAAATATTTGGGTTTATTTCTGATTAGCTTTTAAGCAGCAGGTTTATCTTGAACAACCATCCTCCATTCAGTACAGCAGGTCTTTGGGCGCTCCAAAGGTATATTTAATGTACTCATGGTGTGGTGCTTTTTTCCCCCCCCTGCCTGTATCTACACTTTGGGGTTGTTCTGTGCTAGCAATCTGGAAAAAAACTCATCTTTAGAAAGGCTGGTTAGTTTGTTGGATTTCTGTCAGAGGAGAGCATGCCAGTCAGTAAAAATAAAAATAAAATAAAAAAAAAAACAAACACAAAAAAACAAGTACTGATATTTTTTTCCCCTCCATAAGTAGACAGAGAAAAACCCCAAGTCTCCCTATCGCTTCTGTAATATACTATTTTAATGGGAAGTCTACCTAAAGATTCCAGTTCCCACTTCATTTTGCTTCTCTTTGCGGGTATGCATCCAATATAAGGACAGTGATGTTACAGAAAGGAAACATGATTGTATTTTCAAACAACTACTAGCTACTCGTTTTGTGTTTTAGTAAGACAGAAGCATATTTTGTTATTACAAGAATGTTGTGGAAAGTACAGAAGTTTAGAAAGGTAAAAATAATAAAATATCCTGATACATTTAACATACTTTCAAAGTTTTACACAGAAGAGAAAGCATCTATAGTGAAAGTACTAACATCATAACACTCACCGACACATTTTTCAGCTAGTTCTCCTAAGAAAGGATCTGACAATTTGGGGTTCCAATCCCTGGTATGAATTTGTAAAATGTGCTTTCGTGCCTGATTTTAAAAAAGAAGAAAAAAAAAGAAAGAGATCAAAATTAGCAAGCCAAATCCATGTCATAATATTTTAGACATAAATATTATTTGTTCATGTGAATAGAAAGTTATTTTACCTGTTCTTGACCCGTCACTGAGATGCATAGAATAGAACTTAGCACTCGAAAGTCTCAAGAGTAAGGTTTTCCCTTCTTTTTTAATTTCATATAAGTAGCAATTTTTTCAGTATACCCGTTACACATTTTAATTGCTGTTTAATCAACAACATTATTACACATAAACTGATCAAAACTCATGTTCTATTAGGAATTATCATAATTTTATAATTTGATTTTTAATTGCTGCACCTATGATTCACAGCTTGTCCTGTCAAATGCCTCACCAATTAATTTATTGCTGAGTAGCATAGTACATGCACATGAATTCCAAAACTATGTCATTTAAAATTCTATAGAATCCAAATACACCTATCAATATGCAAAGTAAATTTAAAGTATAAATTAATGAAATATTATGGCTGAGTTTATAGAAGTCTAGAACAGGAACTGAAATGTTCCTGTTGCCAATATAACAACATCTGGCTTTGCATGTACAATTTTTATGTGCTTAGCCATCTACATGGTAATAAAGCTATTTTCTCTTATCGTAACTTCCAAAATCCCAATAGTTAGGGCTCATTATACAAACCCATACAATCCCACAGTTTTTAGATAAGCAATTCAGTTTAACGCGAACAATTTACCTCTCTGTTTAGTTTTAACTATATTCTGAAGATTTGAAATTCAGTACAACTTTATGTACGCAATGTGTTTTTACTAAAAATATTTTTCTAAAATTAAACATTCTTACAAGTAAGAATGAATATTTTTATTTCACAAGCTTGGTTGTTGTGCATTCAAATGTTTAATATGCTAGAAATGTTTATTAATAAATCTCCTCTAAGTTTTACCTTTTGATCAGGCAAGTTGAAAAGAAATTCCCTGTCAAAGCGACCAGGTCTCCTGAGTGCAGGATCTATAGAATCCAGTCTGTTTGTAGCACCAATTACAACTATTTCACCTCTATTATCCAGTCCATCCATGAGGGCAAGAAGAGTAGACACTATAGAGCTAAAAGAGAGTTTTCAAAAAAAGAATGTATAGGGAACACTGCAAGAATTTTTACTTTTTCAACTGCAACATTCATAATGTCAAAGAAAAAAAGCTATGTTAAAAAAAAAAAAAAAACCAAACAGTTGCATAACTGTTTCAAGTCTCAAAGCAAGAAGGAACCTTTTGATACAATCTGTATTATACGTAGTATTATGACCCCAGTAAGGATTACATCAAATTCAAACTTCCTCTTCTAAAAGTTTTGGGGAATGTGAGCTCAGGAAGCCATTTATTGCAGCTCTGAAAAGTTCTCTCCTATTAACAGTGTAGGCATCGTCCTGTTCAGAGCAACTGTAGCACCAGGCAGAAGAAAGGCACATCAAGACAAAGCCAAATGTTTCCATAACCTCTTAATCTGCTGGCCCCAAAACTTCCCTCCTGTCCCCCTCAGCTGAGTGGAGGGAGATGTACACACAAATGCCACCACCTATAAAATGAAAGATGTAAGTGCATTGCCATAAAAAGTGCAGCAAAACTGAGATTGAAGGCAGCCAGGAGAAATTTCAGCCAGCAGTAAACTGTTGTAAAGAAGTGCTTTAAAAAAAATGACAAAGTAGCAACTCAAGATTAAGTTTGCACATTACTCCATCCAGAATCAAAAGCACAGGTGTGTCCAGTTCATTCGCAGAACATTACAATTCCTCATTTTAGAATAAATTTTTTTTCAACTGTTTATTCTACTGGGCTGGTACCACACAAACTGTTTACAGAACAAAACCAGCAACCAAAGGGAAAGCTGTGGAAATCTTTTAAGTTAATAATGTGGCTGAAGGGTAATCTCCACTACAACTCGATTCCCAGCAAACTACAGTCTGCCCAAAGAACTGAGAAGATGACTTTTGATACCAAAAAAACCTCAACAATCTGTCCTTTCTAGTCTAAGTGGGATTAAGCAAAAGCAAAATCCTTTATTGGGAACTGAGTAAAATTACACTTAAGAGTTTACCAAGATAATGTAGTATATACCAAGATAAAGGTAGCATATGAGAAATATTACCTGTGAATCTGATCTTGTCTACTAGAACGAACTGGAGCCAAACCATCTATTTCATCAAAAAAGATTATAGAGGGTCTCATCAAGTATGCCTGGTATGCAAAAAACAAATTGAATTCACTGTTAATTCATAATTTACCCATTAACTCGGAAAACAGTTTGTTTTCCTTACAAAGCATTAACATGCTAAACACATATATTGAGACACCTTTGTTAAAAAGTGTACAGACTGAAAATAAAACTGAGTTTTCAACTACTGTACTGTTTCAGACAAAGCAAAAAAGACTGCATTCTCCTATGAATAAGCAAGATGGCACCAGTGTATCAGCTTTACTGTGTTGGAGAGATTCAAGACAAACTGAGACACCTTATACTCAGCTACAGAAAACAGTATCTTATCTGCTCACAACCTGTTTTTTTTAGACATCTGTGTCTGAAAAGAGCTTTTGTTTGAGCAACCACATTTCGCTGCTTTATGTGACGCTCTCTTCTGTCCATCATTTCCCAAGCCAAATAAGGACACTAAAATACACACACAGCAGATGCAATCCTGCATCCTCCCCTGCATAGCATTTATCTTGAACATGTCAGCCAAATTCCAATTCACTGATTTAAATATTTTTATCAATTTTTACTCAAACTACTTTTTCTGCTTCATTAATGGACAAGTTGAAAGACTTCTTCCTCTCGGTTTTCAGAGCAAGAAAAACTGTTCTCAGCATTCCTCTATTTCTTCATCTAAATATGCAACTTAGACAAATCCCGCCCCATTTACAGAAACTTACAGGTATTTAGTTTCAATTGCAAATAATTTCGGCTGCCTAGAACACAAAAAAAGCCAACATACAGAGATATTATATGAAAAATATGTATTTTCTTCTAACCTGATCAAAAAGGAGTCGAAGCTGACGTTCAGATTCACCAACCCACTTACTGAGACAGTCTGCTCCTTTCCTCATAAAGAAAGCCACCTTTTTGTCTCCTTGACTGCATTCATTAGCTAGAGCTCTAGCTACCAAGGTTTTACCTGTTCCAGGAGGACCATAGAATAAACAGCCCCTGAAGATAAATGGATCAACACAGTCACAAACTTATTTTATGTCTCCTGAAAAACTCCAAGTCAAATTTTATAGAGAAGACAGGGAGCCTGGAGAAGAAAGACTTAAGTTCTAGTATTATTATTTAGTGTATCCAACATGACTTCATAAAATCTAAGTTTGTTTTATGCTTTGAAATCAGTAAATCTCTGCTTTGTAGAGAACATTACTCAAAGGCATATTGAGCTCCCAAAGGATTGTTTTACACTAGTTAAATACCTCCTCAAATATTAAATCTTAGGTAATACTTGAGTCAGTTTTTGTTACTTCTTTGGAGGGACATACTTCCTTTAAATGACAAAAATAACTCAAAATTTTCAATTCACTTGGATTATGTGTACCCATTTAAATCACACACCAAAACGCCTGATTAATAAATATTAAAACCGTAATATAACATTATTGAGATTACTTCTATAGAAGACACATCAGCATTTAGCTTGATTTAGTAAAATGTTTGATAACACACCGGGAAAAAAAGGCAAGCTACTACTTAATAGAACACTTCGGAATTCTTTCTTTGACAAAATCACAAAGTTTACCTTCCTACCACAAGAAAAATTTTGTAACTCTTCATCCCGCTTATTACATTCCAATAGGCAAGTGGGGTAGCAAACATGTAAGTCTATTTGAACTGTAAACACTTGAGGGAAAGAATCAACCTCCTATGTGTTTTCAAGTGAAGCATCCTTCAGAGTTTAATAAAATAAAAACACAACAATAAGAGTAAATACACCTACCTTGGTGGCTGAATTTTGAATTTTTCAAATATTTCTGGATAGAGAAGAGGAAACACTACCATTTCCTTAAGTGCAAGGATATGATGGCTCAATCCCCCTATACTATCAAAACGCACCTTAGGGAAAAAAAGCATACAAAGCATATATTGTAAAAGCTTTCCACAAAAGTACCTTTACTTATAAAATGACATATTTGAAAACAAATTACAAACAACATTGCATTGATCAACAGGAGTTCCCTGAATTTTGAAAGTGTAAAAAAAGTTGAGAAAGTCAACTCTTGGTTGCGCACATGAGATTTATCTGGTTCGCAAGTTAACTGTGGCACGGATGCTTGGACATCTACAGAGACACAGCCTAAGTCTGAGAACATTTTTAAGCTCAGGCACAGCATAACACGAATACAGTCAACATACTTCTTGACAATGGTTCAGCCCTAGCAATAACGCAGCAGCTTCTGCACACCACGCACCATAAGCTAACGTGTATCATTGTTTCTGAATAGGCCCAGGACCCACATGGCTAGCACCGAGGTAACTAACTCAGTTTTCTGTTTTCTCCACTGCTCAGTACATCCCAGTGTCTACTATTACAAGCAATCACAAACTGACTGTAAAAAAAGAAATCTAGCTGGGCAATTGATATTTTAGCTTATTTACAATACCTATGTAGCCTGTTGATTACCTACAGGCTGAAAGCAAGTGCTTTGTAGCCCAAAGGAATAAACAGACAACAGCTTTGGAAAAAATCAAAAAAGATCAGTGAGCTTATTATGAATTTACTTCAACTCTAATGAGAGGCTGTAGTGAATTCTGCTTATGCATAATTGGGGAAAGGAAAATAAAAAGTTTTAACAAAACCTACCGATTTATCAACAATCATAGGGTCAACATCAGCCAAACTCGCCCCAACTTTCACACGTTCTCGCAGGATTCCACTAGCTAAGTCTTCTGCTCTAAAGTTTAAAGGCAGGCACCTGTTCAACATCAAAAAATAACACCAAATAAATATTGTTCTGTTTTGATCATTTTGCTGGAATGGGAAGAACAAAGATTAAATGCCTTCTACCACCTAAAGAGATGACCTTCCTGGATTGATAAGGTAATCAAAACTAACCTTTTTATTGTGGTAATTATTCTTGTATATCTGGAAGTTCCTTAAATATAAAGATAGTTTTGTGCTTCCATACAGATATTTCAATCTGGAGAACTAGGCTGGACAGACTATTTTGATTAAACACAGAAGAAACAATGTTGACCAAAAGAACACGACACTCTCCACTGGCAGTAATGAACTGCATAATCTCAGTATGGTAAGAAAAGGATTAGCAGTACAAGGAAAACAAATTTTTAAAAATATAGCTCATTAGAGTCCAAAGAAAGGAAATAAAAATATTTCTTGCAGATCAGCCGTAACTCACATCCACCTGTTCCAACTTCTTAGTGTACACAAAGAAGCTTTAAGCCCCTACACAGATATTACGTCAGGTCAAATATACAGTTAAAGGGAGGAAGAAAGGTACCAGTAAGATACAGGTTACACTTGGAACTGCACTTTTGGTAGTTGTACATCTTTGGAATTCCTCAGGTTGGAAAAAGGAATGGTGCGGCAGACAGGAAGAGACGGAAAAAGAAAGATGAGGAAACACTTTTTTTCTGTTCAGTTTTCCAAGTAATGTATCTGTGGCAACAAGTTAATTTACTGATACACCTTATAGATCTTCCACTTTTAGACAACTCATGAATAAATGTAAGGTCAAAAAAAATGTGTGTTGGGTGTGTAGAATGCAGATATTACTACACAACAGGAAGAGAGAAGAATAAGAGCTAGTATTGGGAGTACAACTGAACTAACTGGGACCAAGTAACATCAGGAATAAAAATCCACTTTAACCAACAGAAGTTGTTTGTCCTGTAATCCAACTGAATCAAACAGATATTCTTATCTTTCCATCTTTTTATCACTATTGTTAATTATCTACTCATAAGACTTCAAAATCTATGTTACTATAACCAGCAATCTTCTCACACTGCCTCTGCAGGTAATCACAGGCGGCATCAAAAAAGTCTGCAGAACTGATAGAACATTACACAATAGTTCTGCTTGTTTTCTGCTGAATAACAAAAATCAAACCCTCCTAAAGACCAAGAATGTTTTGATACCTATTTCTTGCTCTGGCCATGCTTTTAGATTTTCTTCTTTCAAAACGTTCTTCATCTGAAGAGGTTGTATCACTGCTGTGAATGGCATGCTTCTTTCTCCTATTGAAGTGGCAAAATAAACATAAAACTCAGTCTTTTCTGCAGCTGAACGGCATGTTTTGATTTTTTTAAAAACAACAAAATTGAAACGGCAGGTACAGTACTGTTTAGGTTTAAGATGCATCCAAATTTTAGTTTTATTAAGTATCAAAATAACCTGGGAGGGGAACAACATTATTAGTGTCACAGGGATATCTGATTTCAACATGAACTTTACTACAACAGTAGATCACCATAAGATATGTGGTCCTGTCCATGCTACCTCAGCAAGTGTGATTGAGTATTCAGTCAATAAGCTGCTGAAGTTCATCAGACAGCAACTGCACCTAAGAAAGCTTCCAACCACTTTAGCCACCTCCAACATAACACAATAATCAAGATCTCCTTACTCAGTTCCATGCTTCCCTTTGAATATTCTTTGAAAAAATTCCATACTTCCTAAAGCATATGGTCTTTTTTTATGAGGTCATTAATTCTGAACAGCAGAAGTTTCACAAAATACCTGTACTGTAGTCTAACTTCTGATCAGAATCCAAGTAAAATTACTATTTAAAGTCTGCATGAACCATTTCTTATTTTAGTATGAGGATATTTCAGAAAACTGAGTTTCAGAAATATTAGAGAACATACATTACATCTTCTGTACAAAAAGGTGTTCGGTTTGTTATCAGTTTGAAAAAAACTGGCTATTAGTAAAAATTCATGTATTTTTAGTGAATATAGTGAGCTGCATCATTTGTATGAACATGATAATGCACTGTCCAGCTGTTTTTTCCCAAAAGATAACAAGGTCAATCACTTTTACTGTTTGATGACCAAAAATTAGATACATTTAAAAATATATCGAAGAGTATCATGCAATTAGGAAGAATGTTTATGACAGTGTCCTGACAAGAAGGGATAAAATGAGAGAGGAGCAATGAGCATGCTAAAACTGAAGGGATAACAGCTTTCACACTCTTTATATGTTACTAGCAAGTACAAGTCCTGAGATTACCCAACAAAATGTCATATGCACTTCAAGAAAAAAAAAATGCTCTTCAAAATTACATGCTTTTATTTATATTACAAAGAAACTCGTAGAATCATAAGATTCTGCTATTTTATTTACTTATATACTCATATTTTCACTATGCCATTAAATTGAGCAATAAAACGACAAGAGTTTCAGCTGAGACTAGCATTTGTCTACTTGGATTCTGTTCATGGACGGATTTGTCTTTTTGAAGTTTTCAGTGAGTTTCTTTAAAAAAAAAAAAATGTATTAAGCTCTGATGTCACCTATTTTGTTAAATAAAGCCTAGTGACAGTTTCCAAGACAACTTGGTGCATTCCAGACTTTTTTGTCACAAAAGGTAAGAGTCAAAAATGATGCTTGGTAAATATTTTATTAAATTGTTAGTATTACTTGGATGAAATTTGAACTGGAAGAAAACAAAAAAATGTTAGCTTTATTTGTTTATTTTTGTAGAATAGAAAGGGGATATTTGTTAAACTACTGCTTTGGATTTAAACACTAAATATATGCCCTTACTGAAAAAAAGCTACAGTGTGCAATGTGCAACTCTCCAGTACTTGCAGCATACCTGTTTCCATTCTGTTTATCACAAAGCTTCTACTGGTATTATGAAGTGCTATGAAATTAATTTTTGTATGCTGATCAGGATCTGAACCTAAGATAGAATTCAAGATCCACACACATGCGTGAATGAACTGTACAACTCACTCAAGAATGTTCCGAAAATCAAACACTAATAGAAATGTACTGAGGGAAAGCAAACAAGTACATACCAAAAGACTGACATTTACCTGATATGGCTTCTTCTTGCAGGAGATCTGTGAATATCAAACAGTGTATTTTCCCTCTTTTTTTGATGAGCTGGCACTGAGTAAGAGAAGTTACAGGTTTGTAACATCAATTACAAAAGAATAATAAACTAATCTAAATGCAGCACAAAAGTGCTAGATTATTGCTTTACGAATATTGTTACCACTGGTTTCTCCAAAAGCTCAAATTAAGAATAGAACTGGGGGGGTGGGAGGTGGGGGAATGGAGGGAAATCAAACCTTGTATGCTTTATTTCACGATCACCATACTTGGCTTGATACAGTCATAGGAATTCCACCCTCAGCCTCCTCAAATCGTCACAGCTATGGCTACCATGGCACAGAATGTAATTCATCCATGGCACTATCATTTTTAGTTTATTTGCAAGACACGAAACTCCATACAAAAACTTCTGCACAGCTGATAACATGGGATGTCTCGTAATTTCTCTTAACAAATAAACCACAGCATTTCTCTATCAGTCTTAATTTCCACGTTGCCTTAAGATATAGCACACTGCATACACCATTGTAATCTAAACCAAACATGCACAGAGTACATTATTTCAAACTGAAGTATTAAAATGTTCAAAATCAAGAGACACTGAAACCTGGATGGATCACTGAAGGCATGTCCTGTGAGGAGCAGCTGAGGACTCTGGGTTTGTCCAGTCTGGAGAAAAGGAGGCTGAGGGGCCACCTCATGGCTCCCTACAGCTTCCTGAGGAGGGGAAGTGGAGAGGGAGGCGCTGAACTCTTCTCCCTGGTACCCAGCAATAGGACGCATGGGAACGGCTCAAAGCTGCACCAGGGGAGGTTTAGACTGGACATTAGGAAGCGTTCCTTTACCAAGAGGGTGGTCAAACACAGGAACAGGCTTCCTAGAGAGGTGGTCAAGGCCCCAAGCCTGTCAGTGTTTAAGAGGCATTAGGACAATGCCCTTAATAACGTGCTTTAACTTTTGGTCAGCCCTGGAGTGGTCAGGCAGTTGGACTAGATGATGACTGTAGGTTCCTTCCAACTGAACTATTCTATTCTAAATTTCTTATCTAGGCAAAATGCAGTAACTGCTGCTATGCAAATTTATCTAGTTATGAATTAGGCTTACCACTCAAGAAGAGAATCAGGCATAACAGTAACTATTTTTTCTATGTAATTATCTAATTTATTAGATTGCTTTCTGAATTCAACTTCTGCCAACTACTTCTTGACCTAAACCCCGTTCACCTCCAACCCTGAGCCCAGCACATGGCAGTACTTGCAAAGTTCAGTGAGGCGGCATGCACTAGCAGCGCCACCACCATTGACAAATTAATGGATTGTGTCTCAGTAGTCGTATTCACATGGTGAACAAAAACAGAAGTAAGATGAAAGTCACTAATGCTGCATGGGAACTCTGTCAGGGTGAGGAGCAGTCATCCAACTTTTCCCTTCCCACACCCATGGTATTCTTGGAGGTCAGTAGAGCCGAACTGCATGAGCACTGTCTAGTTCCTCACCTATTGGAGGGGCCTGGTATCTTTCAACAGTTTTTCTCTGTCTGAGGTTATATGGCCGATCATTTTCTTCTCCCTCAGCCTCTTCTACTTCTATATCTCCATCTTCTTCCTGAGACTCTGTTGGGGGGGAAAACATTTTCAGAACACTTCTACTTGATGCCAGAGCTACCTTCAACCTAAAAATTAACATTTTAATGGTCACTGAGAATTATTCCCCTCCTATTAATTAACACTAATTGGTAAATCACTGGAAATCTGACGACCAAGATGAATCTACAGCACATTGTCAAACCTCCTTTTAGTTTCCCACAGAAGGTTCTGGAAAAGCAACAGAAAGAAAAATAAATGTAGTCAAATTAATTTTAGTTTTAAAGTACTTCAAATATCACTTCTATCCACTATCTTTTTCCTTCAATAACTGTCCTTCAAATTAAGAATGCCCTTCTTCTCTTTTCCCATAGGAGCCTCAGAAAATCAAATATTTGACAGAGCATGAAAGTAAGCACAACTTTACGATTCACAATATAATTTTTACACAAAGCAAATAAACACACTGTATAAAGGTACCACCTAGGTCCATCTATTAACAGGATCAGTATTTCCATCCATAGAGCTCAGAATTAGGACTGTATTCTTATTAATTGGGACAGACCATACCTCCTACAGCAGTTTCGGTTCAAAATAGAGACACACTACACTGAACCTCATATGGATCCCTGAAGTCTGAGTCCGATTTCTTAAGGAAGCCAAGCATGCTGTAGATCATGCCATCAAAGTCAGCCATAATCCCTTCTTTCTCAATACTTTTTGAACACACTGGCCAGTTTCATCCACATTTTTAAAGGAAGGTAGAATTTCAAATACTGTTGTGTGTCTACAAGCCTTCTAAAATTCAGTGGATGGATAGAAAACAGAGACTTTAATTAATATCTTCCCCAAAGGAAGGATGCAGAACTGACTATTTCACACTTTTTCTGAACGCTTTCTGGTAACTACCACACAGCATATGAGAAATAGCGAGTCAGTTAGAACATGTGTAGTTGTAGACTACATGCATCACATTCTGGCTTCCACCAGAGGATTGTAACAGGGAATATAAGGAAAGCTCCAATTACTTAGTGTTAGGGAAAACAGGAGTAAGGGAACGTAATATGCAAACATTTAGAAACCAGGGTTTGTTCTGCTACTTTCAGATAAACTTGCTTTTGTTTAAAGAAAACTATTTGTAGAGATCCCTAAAACTTCTCCTCATTCTAAAGGGGAGGAATCCTGCAGTTTGTACTTATTTGCAATAGTCTTGTTAATTGGCCTATTTAATAACTCCAAATCCAGATCCAAAACCAAATTACTTTCTGTAGTGCAATATATTGCTATCTTATGTCGAGGAGAGCTTTGTTTTATAAGTATTTCAGAGAAACTCTTACAATTCTTTACAACCCATACCTTCTTCTTCCCCTTCTGTGGACACTTCATGGTGGTTCTGAATCCCATAGCTGTTTCTCCTCAGTGATTTCCTTCTTCTTTTCACTCGAGAATACATATCCATGTTTTCCTGTAATAAAATTCACATACATTCCTATCAGTACTGTCCCATGTCACTCACAGTGTTAGCCCACAGTTCAGTAAATAATACACAATCTCTAGCCCCCAAGACTTTTTCCCACACAGCCTTCCACGGGTAGACTACAAAAGCAGTCTCATTTAATAGGTGGTAAAATAAGTCTCTCAGTACCTAGTCCATCTAATACATAGTTAACATCAGTACCAAGCTGTTTTAGGGAACAAAGCAGATGACAGTCCCTGGTGATGTTTTCAGACTACCAGAGTGTGCTTCAAACCAAAGGAGGACCATCACAGTACCTCATGAGAGCATGGAAGACAATTCATCAATAAAGAAAACATGATTTAGTATACACCCGTGAATCTTGTTCTGAATTTGAGTTTATCAAGTTTTTTAATGTTATCCACTGAAGAGGATCTGGAACCTTTTGACAGAGCTACAGACAAATGTATGGAGAGTGCAAAACCAAACACGCTCCCCCTTGATACTACTTTTATTCAAGATCTGAGGCACACTGCACTTACAAATTCTGTATCTGTCCACATTCGTAGCCGTTCTACTTCCCCAGACCGCCTGTTTCTCCTGATGTTAATATTATCCATTTCCTGCAGGACAGCTTCAGCAGTACTAAAATATACACAACAGTTAACACACACACAAAAAAAATCAGTCTTAAAATAGTAGACATGCAGAACTTTTTACACAGCATCCAACAACCTAGCCTATCTAATTCTATGGTCTGTTATGGCTATTCTAATGTCTACAAGTCAACTAAATACATAAATGAATTAAAATCTGAAAATTTTAGGATAGCTTCTTGAATCTATCAATTAACTACAAAACCAACCATAATAAAGAAAACTGAAAGATGAAGCTACAGAATATAAACTAAAGAGTATGCAAAAGAAGAAATGCTGATGCTGTTAGAATTTGAGGTTCAAATTAGGCTGTAACGTTTTAAATTGTTTTTTTTTCCTCTGTGTAAACTGCAGCATATAAATTTGTAACTGCTTAGATGTTAGGTTAGGTGTCAGATAAGATTAGGTTTGCAGAATAAGAAAGTAAAGCTTTTTATCTATATAATTATAATATTGGGAAAGCAATTAATGCCTCCACCTCATCAGCTTTACAGCTTCTTACCCTGGCCTCAGAAAGACATAAATACATAAAGCATTTTTTTTTTTTACGTTAGATCAGTAACACCTAGAATTTTATCATTCATTATTTGAGCCCACTACCATTTCTCATCTACTATTTAAATAACCTACATTTTCACTATCTGAAGTATTGGTAAACAGCTGTCAAAACAATAGCGGTATATAAATAATAACCTTGGCCAAGATGCTTCATTATTAAGGAAGAAAACAAGAGTATTTACCAGGCCAAGTCAATTATCTGGCCACCTGTCCTGAACACCTAGTTCCTGCTCTCTATTGAGATTACGGCAGATTTCCACTGGAATTCCACTATAATTGTATAACAATTGTAAGAAGGCAGAAACTTTCACTTCCTTTCTTTCAAGCTGTTTAAAAGTAACTCTACAGGGTGAAATCCTGCCTAGAAAGAAGTCAATGGCCGTTCTGGTCACAGAAGTCAGTAAAGTCAAGCTTTCATTATGAGCACCCCTCTCGATTTTAAACAATTCTTCTAAAATATCTGTGATGTGTGACATAACCACTTCAAGTAAAATCAAGCTATAGTTCAGTATCAAAGAAAATAGGGTTCGAGGGGACCTGGAAAAGTCAACCGGCTCTGCCAGGCATGAACAAACTACATAATACCTAAATCATTCCTGACACATTTGTCTAACCTGTTCTTAAAAATCTCCAATGATTATGGGACACACTGTTATCAGTATAAGTTCATATATAGACTTCAGTACCATGATCTTATCAAATTACAATCTTCATGGTAGACTTTTTCCTACTGTTGATGAGGAGAGGGAGATTCAACTGCAACTAGAAAAATAAATGTAACTCAATATAAATTTGTAAACTGATACCAAGTAGTTACTGAGTAAATTGAAAAAGAAAATTAAATTAATAAAAGATTCAACAGAATACATTTAACAATAAAGATCATACTTGGCAATTAAATGTTTATGTTTAAATCGTTTTCCAAGCACTAGAACAAGCAGTCTCTCACAGATGTGACTACTAAGACCCATTTTACAGGTGGGAAAATTGAGACATATTAAGTGACCTGCTCAGGGCCACACAGAAATAATATTTCAAGAAAAGTATTTCTGGCTCCCATTCCTATGCTCAGACCAGACCGTGCCTCCCTCTCTGACCTACTTTGTCTGCACAGTAAATGTCAAAAAGTGACACCCACCCTATGTGAATTACTAACAAATGGTAAAAAACAAAAACAAAAAAAGAAAGCTACAAACTTTTGATATTTTATGATCAAAATCATACAAGCAAAATCTAGAAAGCTTCCAAGCATTGTTGCTAATCACCAGTTTACATCACAATTAGGGTATCGCTACATGAACAGGTTACTAATAAACAAACTAGGGTGTGGATTTACAGCATGTCAGCCACTCTGCAATAACCGCCAACATACAGTTTCATCCAGGTGTAAACACAAAGTAGTTTACTCCTCAGTGAAAAGTCTGGTAAGCTGCTTTGCATTTAGAGCACGGATAACAGAGGCAGTTACAGCACAGGACCCAGCCTGTAACTCAAACCACAATCTAGCTTGCTTCGACGCTAATACATTCCCACAGTAAAACACATAGATGGCACTGGAACACAGGGTTTTCTAACTTTTTAAAAAATCATTAAGATGCTTTGTGAATACAACTCAAGTATCCCCACATACCTGTTTACTAGCTGATCAAACAATAAACTCTGATTCAAAGTTTCAAATCTGTTTTTCCTGGACCGACAACTTTTTCTGACTTCTATATCTCCGTTTATGCAAGCATGGTCCCCATCTCCCTTTTTTTCCCCTCGAAGGGGGTGGCTTTTGAGAGCTAAGAGAAATTTGTATTACTACTTCAAAATGCAGGAAACAACATTTTCACAAACAAGAATTAATAAGAGAATACTTAGCAAGGACAATAAACCGAAAGTTATGGAGCACAGTATGAGCACCCTTATATTCACTAAAGAAATATATTTTTTAAATTCCTATCAAAGTTGTTTTACAAGCTATTTCTTCAGACTCGAGCTTGTTTCCTTATATGATAGTCTTATTTTATGATGAAAATTTGGCATTCAAATATCTATTCAATATTTTTAAGTTAACATCAATACTAAAATGCACGTGGCCCACAGTTTCAGTTCTTAGTCTTTCAAATACAATATCAAAAGGTCAGATACAACACATTGATTTCACAAGCAAATCTATATCAGCTACTCTGTACAGTGCCAAAAAAAAAGGATCCCACTTCTGATTGTTCCTTAGGCACCACAATAAATAATAAAAATACCAAAAATGCTTAATGGATTAACGCATACATAGAGTCAACACAGAACTAAACGAGACAGAATTGATGAAAAAGGGACATGAAGGACAAAGTGGTTTTAGCTGAGATATGCAACGAGGCGGCAAGTTTGTAAGGTACAAGCATATAGGAAAACTGTTCAAGGTAGCAGGAGCTGCAGACAAGGCAGGTCTCTATAAAGCAATAGTAGAGTTAAGTAACGTTAAGAACTACAGAAGGCCAAATTTCAAATGAGCAAGGAGAGTAAGCAAATTAAAGAGACCAGCTGTGAGAGGAAGGCCAAAATTAGTTCGTAACAGTAAATTTCGGAATTAAGGAAAACATCAAGATCATGGCCAAGAGGTCTGAATTGAGAAGAGAAATGGACTTTCATCTAAGAATGTTCCCCATGTCCACAGAGAGCATCCAAGATGTTGACAGAAGAAAACTGAGCCAAAACAGTAATTTTTCTGGTCAAAATGGTCAGAGTAATCAGTAAAGTTATTAAAAATATATGCAACTGAAAATCACTGACATAAAATTGTTAAATATAAAAGTAGGTACAAAAGGGTCCACTGTAATACACTTACATAAGCTACGTCCATTTGGTAGTGTAGCACCAGGCTGAGAAGTTAACCTAGGAAACAATTATATTAGACACACAAATAATGTTAACATTCCTTAGCCAAGCAAAAGTCACACAGTGAAAATAGAACTTTAAACACAGCATGTTACACGATACACTATGACTTCAAAACCTTTGTGACACGTAGCCTCTGAAGAGTCTGCTTCATGCCCAACACTGGAATGAGGACAAAACTGCCTAATACCAATTATATGCATCCCCCCAATTATCTAAACATCTCTTTTATTAATCCCTCCAATGTTCCCTCATGCCATGTCCTACTATTAACTCTCCCCCTAAGTTTCAGAACAAGATCTTGATATAGCTCTTCAAAGGCAATTATCATTCAAACACTTTGGATAAACTAGTAGAAGCACAAAAAGCTGTTTCGTACTCACAGAAAAAGAATAAATTTAACAAAATTACCAACTCATGTGAATGGGACTAATTTATGCTGTGTGTACTTAAAAGCAGTAAAAAATATTTTCCTGTTCTCTAACAATCTGGTATTTTGAATTTCTTTTTACACTAACTTTTAGGAAAAGTAAGCCCTACTACATCATAGTCTAAGACAAAAACATATTCCAGAGTTTTCTGCAATTTTATTGCATAAGCAATTGTTCCTTCATTCACTTATCTTTAAAAAATTAAAAATATTTTTATTTTTTAGACATTTTACTAGAAGATAATTTAGAGTAGAATACAAATGAATAAAAACTCTACAACCACTGGCAGATTGTTAAATGTAATTTGTCAACATCACTATGCAAAAAAGCAAAATAAATCAGGGAAAAGGAAAAAAAAAAATTCTCTCTCTTCCACCCTCAGAAACGCTTAGAGCTTTCCAGTGAACTGTAACTGTATATACTGCACACCAATACTGGAAGGGAGGAACTCCTTGTTCTCAAACTACAAAACTAAAATGAATTTGATGGGAAACAGAAAAAGGAGGGGAAATCTTAGTAATACCAAATGCAATCTAAGCTCGAACATGACCAAGAGTTCAACAGACTACAAAGAGTTCAACTCAGAGGTACAGAAGATGTGAGCTTTGCTATTATTTTCCTAAGAAATGTGTAACCAATCCTTACAAAACAAAGGTAACCTCAGGATTTTTGCAAGGGTTGGGTAGCAACACAGAAAACCATGTTTACAGAAGTCATGTCCACATCCAACTTCCCAATAATATTTTTCTGGTCAGATATTTTAAGTATTTTAGAAACCGCAATTGAAGAAGTGAAATTTGATTATAATAAAGGTTTAGCAACAAAGCTTTTGGGAAAAGTCTTAGAAACTTAAGATCACTATTATGCCCAGCACTTTGGATTTTGGCAGAAAACAACAAAAAAGCCCGAGATGCAAAGACATGCCGCAGTGGGTTCTACATGAGTAACAACAGGAGTTTCAGTATCCTGGCCAAATTTCACTTGACATAGTGATCTAAATTCTCGCAGACACATTAAATATTTTTTTATCTCTTAGCATTTCTAATAGATACAGTACAAGTCTACACTTATAAACAAAAGAAATAGAAGGTGCATGAGTTTCAATACATTCCCAGATGACCATGGCACATAATATGCTGTATGTAATTTATTCTGTTTTAAAAGAGAAAAACAAACAAAAAAAGAGATCTATTTTAAGATTTACGTAGTTTTTAAATATACTTCATCCTAGCAGACGACAGTCCAGTAGTGAATTACAGTCATTCTTACATGCAAAGTGTTGCAAGAACGATTTTGATTTGTACATAAATATGAAATACGTATCTACAAAAGAATCAGTATTAACTGAAGGTTCATGGCCCAGGAACATACTGCCTACACTGTCTCATAATTACTTGTAATCACGTGAAGAACCTTATGAACACAAGAATGCTTTGTAAAATACTATTAATCAGTTATAAAATGAAACAAATTACTTCTCTTTTGAGTTATAAAAATGTGGCAAGATTGAGGCTATATTCAATAGAGTAATTCACTTAAGCCCTTATAACCAAACAGGGAAGAGAGGCTGAAAACGACAATGGAAAGAAACAAACTGGACCATTATCCATTCCCTAAAGATGAGGATAATACTGATTTCCTAATTAAAATGTCATGTCTTCTTGTATCTTGAGTACATAAAAATACCAATTAAATCACTAAATTTGGATGTATCAAGAATCTAGAATTCAGACTGCATCTCATTTAAAATTACTTCCCATTTTTGCACAAATTTGCATAGAAAGGCAACACAGAGATGAAAGGATTTATGTAACCCACGTTCCTGGAGTCTTAAACTAAAAGAAAATTATATGAAAATAACATGCTTCAAAAATACACTCTTGAGTGTGAGCTGCAGCTCACTGCAGAAATAGCATAAGTGGGTTAACGATACAGGAAAAATTGGTAAGACTTCATTTTTCTCCTGGCACCAAGTTACCTGGACTGTCCAGTTGAGATGCTCCATTCCTCTCGCTGCCCAGTACTGCGTGATTTTGATTTGTCTTTGCACACAGGATCAGCATGTTTTGAGGTACGTTTGGCGGGAGGAGATATGTGGCTATCACTCAAACTAGCATCACTACCTTCATCTTTCTGAAAAGAAAAAAAAGCATCAGATCATACTTAATTGGCTCATTTGTATATATCCTTACAGAAAAAGAGGAAACTTAAGCTTAGTAAAAGTGAAGCCTCTATCAAACTCTTAGTAACTAGCTTGTGTGAAATATTAAAAATTATTATTCTGAAAACACTACTGGAAACCACAAAAATATTTAGTTTTTAATATTTAACTTTTCTATAATATTTTACATCTATTTCTGAACCAGCATTCTGTTTCTCTAACCCACTGCATTTTGTATATCACACATGACACTACTACTCTTACCCTACTTGCAAAAGAACTAATAGTGCAAATAAAGAGAAAAAAGGACTGAGGCAAATAAAGATTCTTAGAAACACAGCATGAATTTATTCTGCTGACATTATCTTTGTCTTTAAAATGCTTCAACAGTCACATTATCCTCTTCCTTCCTCTAAGAGTTTTGCAATACCTTGTTCTCTTCTTTAGACTATCAAACACACAGCAAGGAGTAACTGAAAGTGGACTTTAAACTTCTATAGCATTTTTTTGTCTAATGTGTTCATTAACAGCATTATACACACGAACAACGTCAGTCTTAACACCTTTAAGAAGCACCTAAACAATACCAGAGGGTTTTTTTCCCTGCTGTGCTTATCAGAGGTAACGTAGACAGAAACTCCAAGATAGTAGCAAGGGATTACTTCAGAGCTGTATGTAACAAGTGGACAGAAAGCAAACTTTGGAGGATCTGCTTCTGTTAGGATGAACTACAAAAAGAAAAAAAAAAAAAATCAAGATTCTGTAAACCACAAATTTTAGCTCATGGAAACAGTCTTGATTAAAAAAACTAAATATCCTCTCTTGCAACAACAGAGCAACCAATTTCCGAATATTAAGGTCCAGGAATTGTCAGTAATCACTTCAACTAAGAACAAAAGATAATTTTATTTACATGCAAGGAGATGATCACGGAAGTCCCATTTGTTCATCAGGCTTATTAACAACAACAATCTGATTTGTACTCCAGATAATTCAACATCATGATGTCTCACGTACTCAAGAAAATAAAAATAAAAAAACAACGAAGTCCTTTTCTTAAGAGAGGAAGACAATCATAGCACAGTATTTAGAAAGTGGCAAAGCCTAAAGAAATCAAAGTATGGGTGCAGTTCACCAAGACAGCTCAGCACCACTGAAGCCAGGGGCTGGCCCATGCGCTCCCTTGCCTGCCTACGCAGCACCACTCCAGTCTCCTTTGATCTTCTTCTGATGGTTCTCTGACCCACCAATAAACCAAATCAGCTCACCAAAGCTTCAAAAGTTCACTTTCCTTCTGTTAGATTAGCTTTCTATCTGGTTAGTGAGCTGAATCATTTCAATGAGGGATCAGAGTACAGAAGATAAAGCAAGAAAAAAAAAAAAACAAGGTGAGGATGGGACCAGTCTGCAGGAACAGAGAGTTGCGAGTGAAATGAGCTGACTACATCATGCCTTAACATTTATTTTTACATATTATCTATAAATATATAAAATATTCTAAATAAATACATATTATTATATATATTTTGACAAATATTAACTAATATTAAATACTTATAATGCTACTAATAAATTAATAAATGTGGTATTCATTATGCTATAGTATTTGTTTACTCAATATGTTATATGTGATTTTCATTTGTGATTCATACTTGTAAATACTTTTTATAATACTAAAAATACTAAATACCAAAAACTAATATTAATTGCGAACCAGCCCATGTTCACATCTCATTTTAAAAGTAGTTTTAACTTTGTTAATTGTTAGCCTGTCAAGGTAAATCCAAGGAAAGAATATATTAAGATTCAATCTTAGGACTCATTTAACCCTAGTAAAAAAAAAACAAAACAAAATTCACACTTTTTTCTTCCTCATTATTTTACTTCTTCAGGAAGTACATCAATGTAACTCAAACTAATATCTATACTCAATATCATAATTAAAACTTTAAATTACATGAAGCAGAATTAGGGATCTAAAACTAAGGCTTAGTCGAAGCGGTAGCAGAGGTAACTACCACCATTCCTAAAGACAGAACACCTGCACCTTGCCTAGCACTGGAAAATACATGTGCAGCCACCCAGCTGTTTTCCATAACACTCTGCAACTACAAAATACCAACTTTTCACAAAATTTTAATAGTGTACATATTCACTTCTGAATACTGTAAGCATTCGTGTATGTACTTTTTGCTTTAATCAGCCGCAAGTTTATTTGTGGACTTACAGAAATACATCATTGCTCAGTCAATTTTAGTAACTACTTTCTGAAACTACAAGAGCTACCCTGTGCAGGAAAGAAGCAGAGTTTCAAGGTAAGCCACAGAACCAGTTTTAAACCGGCTAGGCGAGACAGAGAAAATGAAGCTAAGAAAGAGGAACAAGCATGTAACGAAGCTTTATGAGGGCTGACACTAAAGCTATTTTGCAAGCAGTGAAATTAGTAACGCATAGGTTCCTATACTCCATCTCTACCCCCTCCCACGCAAAAATCCTAACCGCTCCCAGGTCTCCCACGACCACCCTTCTCTCCATTTCCTCCAGTTCCCTGCTGCTGGTCCCAAGTCTCAAAATTAGCTAGTATTCCTCATTTGTCCTGTCTATTTATTGGTCAAAGGCAATACAGTGCTGTAGTTACTTCTGAGCTACGTGCATGCCAAGTGGTCAACTGGCAGGTAAAACAAAATATTAGTGATTAACCTGGGGACAAAATCTGCTACTTCAGTTCTCCCTCTGCTACTAATATTCACAGAATTTAGAAAAGCCGCATATCTTTGAGATCTCTAATACTGTCAAACGAACAGATACTTGCCAATAGCTTCAAAAACTGGAAGGGCAGGCTGACTGTCCATGCGATCACATCAGTGCATCCGCCTAAGGAACTAGACTAGCAATGAAGGGGGTTACTTAACAGAGGCAATACTTTCTGGTTATTCTTTGTTTAGGGTGTTATTTTCAGTTGAGCCGCATTTGTCTGCATATTAACTCTACACAGTAACTTAGCAAGTACAAAGCAAGTCTAAATTTTAAGATCGTCAAGCCCAAATACTAACTTACGTTAGTACACCTGCTGTAGAAGACGCACTAGCATACAAAATGTTTTACTGTGAAGTATTGACAAAGTTACTACAATGAGAAATCATTAAAATTTTAAATATGTTAATAAGAACCCAAGCTCCATATTCCAGTTAACAGACAATCTTAAAAATTCAAGCTCTAGGGAATCAAATCACACCTAGACTGCAATCCAGAACTTTCACCTACCTACACTAAAATATGGAGATGGAGCTTTCATTACACTCAAGAGATTACCCAAACTGGGATATGCTAGAACAAGAAAAGAAATTAACTTCAATCTGGGAAGCCGTTACAGAGAGCAGTCTATCCACTGCCTCCTCCCCTTTATAGCAAAAGAGGTCTAACGATTCCACTGCACTCAACTTGCTCCCTCAAGTAACTGGGTCTCAAACCATTTATACCTTCAATGATTAAAAATAATACTTCAGTTTCAACCCAGAAACTTATTACTTAACAGTACACATCACGAAAATCTTCTGGGACTAGAAAGAGAAATGTATGACACAAGCATCAAACTTAAAAATTAAGAAATTAATAATGCAATTGCAGAAGTAGGAACCAATGCACCGAACTCAAAGCTCCTAATGAAACACTGGCACTGAAGCAAACGCACTCATACGCTGAGAGAATGCAGAGAATACGAATTAATAAAATCTTAACCATGTCCGAAATTGCCTGAAAGCATACCAAAGCCACAAAAGAAAAAGCAAGCACAGAAGAATCAAAAATTGAGTTTACATAATGTCAGGAAGTACGAAGAGGTAAAGAAAATTTAGCACAACCGTACTGATCTAACAGAAATAAGAGACCCACCAAACTCCAGCTGTGATCCAGAACAGCCAGAACCTAGTGCAGCTTCTTATGGAAAGCACTCTCACTAATAATGAGTGAAGAAATAACTGGAGTTAACAGGATACCACCCGTGGTCTAGACTGGAACATAGTCTTCATTATAGAATCACAGAATCATAGAACCGTTAAGGCTGGAAAAGACCTTCAAGATCATCAGGTCCAACCGTTAACCTAGCACTGCCAAGTCCACCACTAAACCATGTCCTCAAGCACCACGTCTACCCGCAAATTAAACAACGCAAGGAAACGAAACCAAACCACTG